AATAAGTTACGGAAACAGAATTTGTTGCACTATTCCAAAAAATTTCCTACTGCCCCCCCTGCATGAAATCCTGGCTACGCTCATGCTCTTGCTGGGATCAGTCGGCCTCATTGTCGATTGGGTCATTTGGTGAATGCATATTGTTCGCCAAAATTGGCGTAATAAACTTCCGCCAATTTTTAAAATATCTTCGCTAAGGCTTAGGGTGAAGCATTTAGAATTTCCGAATAATCGAATACCATGAAATTTCAACATAGTATACTATATATAGTATCTTCCAGAAAGTTGGCATCATATGGGAATAACTATTAAAAACAATTCATTTTGTAATTCGACTTGGGCGTTAAGTTTTGCTTTAAACAAGATGAAAAATGGTCTACTGGTCGGGGTAACTTGACTTTTAATGTGAAAAGTTGTTGAAAAATAAAAACAACCAGATGACAGGGATTGAATGTCAATAAATAATTCTCAGTTGTAACTTCGTTATAGTTTTAGTGATATTATAGAGAGATGAAAATTGTGTATATCATGAAGAATGGCTGAAAGAATAACATGACTGAGGTGTGTTTGATATCCGAAATGAGTTTCATTCGAATAGAGTCATAAAACCAGTTCGTGAGAGATACGATTCCCATATCAGTGATCCGAATAATTTTGCGAGAGGATGTCGATTCTCAATATCAGAGTATTTTAATCCTTCATAATCACATTTTGGATGTTCAACAGATATAATTCAATGTTTGACGTGTCAAAAAGCCAGGAAAGTAGTTGATATCTGTTGAATATTCAGAATGATATTATGTGTATATACATATTTTCATCTGAAGGAGAATGAAATAATTTTTTCTGTGCACTGGGCCCATAACCTGATGATATAGGAATTTAACTGTGTGCATCGTGGTGAGGTAGGTTGCAAATAAAAAGCGAGTTACATAAAGGACTATACTTATTACTGTATGTGGTTACTCACATAAACGAACAAACAACAACTGTCATTCAACTCAGCTAGAGATACTAAAGTATATAAACAGTGTTGCCACATGTAATAATGTAAATACTATAGAATGAGATCTATAGAACATTGATTGAAATACATCATTCTCAACTCCAGAAGATTTTGTTATCAAATTTTCATTGTGCGTGTGATCAATAGATATAATTCAATGTTCGTCGTGGCATATAGCCAAGAAAGTAGATGTTTTTTGTTGAATAAACCGAGAAAGAATTGTCCTTCCTTTTTCCTATTGATTTTTTTCTCATTATGTGAAAGAAATATTGTCAAATAACTCATTTTATTACTATTATATCTGGAAGGGGCCATATATCAACATGTTTTCCTATGTTCCTAAAATATTTCAACATAAAATATCCCTCATTTTCTATGCATCAGGCGCCTTCAAAACTATACTCATATATACCTCGGCACAACAATAATTCCAGAAGCTATAATGAACAATGTATCAGACATTCCATATTCCCCACTTAATTGGAAAGTCCGTATATAGATACGCAATGCATACAAAACCAGGGGCGTATCCAGCTTTGTGCCATGGGGGGGAGGGGGTAATCCTTAGTCCGGGGGGTTATATAAATGAAGCAAAAACAGAAATTTTTGTTTCTCAAGGTCAAATGCCTTCAAATTGAAAATTAGTTCTGTCAGCGGGGTTTCACGAAGGTCGAAAAAAAAAAGAATTCAAATTCAGTTGAAAATATTCTTAAAGACAAATCGAATTATGAATGTCAAGTTTACTTCGACCCGAAAAAAATGCTTGAGTTTAAGTCGGTAAGACAATTTGATGGATACGTCAACCCACATTATTAATGATAGATTTTTTTCAATTTCTCCCCTCGAATACTCTTCAAATGGCGACGTTTGCACAGAGTATAGATACTCTTCTGAGAGTTTGAGAAAACATGAAATAAATACCACCAAACATTTGTTTTACAATTTTGGCTGTCATTTGCTATCAAATGTTAAGTTTCGGTTTTGTCGCTGGAAATCAAGCTGAAACGTTTTCTCTGTCATAATGTCAGAAATCTCTGCTATCAATCCACGACTAGCAATACCAGTCGGACGAACAGCACATCCTTTCGTTGTCAGCCTCGAAATATGTGGAACAGCACTTTATAAGAACTCGTTTATCTATAGAACGGCAAAGCTCTGCAATTCATTGCATGAGGAAGTATTTCCAAGAACTTATAATCTCCAAAAGATTTTAAAAAATCCAACACCTACCCCCTTCTCCGAACATTATAGGGATTCCCTCTCGTGTGCACCAGGCCATAAAAAATCACACCGACTTACGGGATTTTATATACAGGGTGTTTCCGGAATTGAGGTAATAAATGAAATGGGGTGTTCGATCACACATTATGACACAATAAATGGCAATAAAAACATTCCTAGAGCAAACGATAGACTTTTGCAGTACGAACGAAGCGAGATCCCGCAAAACACAGAGTTACACAAAATGTTTTCTAATTTTGATGCAGAATTCCGCTTGAATAGAAATAATGACCAGTTCTACACTCGGTTCTACATAAGTTCTACCGATTATGTACACAACTTATTACTCTTAGTAGGCAAGTTGACTGTCACTTTGAAGTAGCCGTCACACAATAATATGGTCACAAATCTGCGACGAAATTCAAGAAATAGACTCGTTCGATATTTAAATCAGTGGAAAATGGCTGATTTGACTTCAGATTTCCCAAGTGATAACGAGGAAGCAGTACAAAATACACCATTCTCTTCGTCCATCTATATTTACATTCCATAACTGGTGTTAGAATGAACAATTTATCACCAGTTATGTGATATCTTACCTCACGCAACTGGTTTCGTGAAGTAAGTTGTTTTAAAACTTCCGTTCAGTCATGTCAAAATTAGGCGTTTCCAGACATAACGTAAATTACTATCATCTTTATATTTTCGCAAGATTCTTCTTTTATGTCTAATTCCAATTGTAACTGGAATTGTTTTTTTTTTAATAGTAACACTACTCAAAATGTCTACAATATACTTTTTTTCTACAAACGTCAAAAAATGACAAGGTTCGCGCATTGATAACAAATTGCGAAGTGACACTTTTTGTCAGTTTCCTACGTTACCATGATACCTTGCACATAACAATGCGCGAAGTGAAACAGTGCGCGAAGTACCTACTCGAGCAAACATTCACGAAATCATTCATTTCTGAATGTTCACCAATAGCTTTGTTTTATCTCTTGGATCGCACGAAAGAAAATCCCTATTATGCTCGTGGAACATCGTGCGTACCGAGGAAGGATAGTGGGAAGCTTTTTAAGTCAGTTCAACACTATTTTCTTTATCAAGCTGGGCATATTTTTACTTGAGAACTATATTTTTTGACGTTTGTAGAAACAAATTTGTTTGCAACTCGAGCGCGAAATACTTTGGTCATCTCGACTATTTTTTTAACTCGGCTACGCCTCGTAAAAAAAATCAGATCTCGATCACCAAAGTAGCATTTCGCGCTCTAGATACAAAAATAACTATTTAAACCTCACGTCTTTCAAATAACAAATGAGAAATATTGAAAACTCTCTACTGTGGTCGAACCCTTGATTATAACAGGGTCAAACCACAGTAGAGAGCTTATCAAACTCTTCATGCAGTCGGCCGCATTTGTGTCGGGTCGTCAACGTGTGAGGAGTTATTCTCAAAAGTTGCTGGGAAACTTAAAATGGCAATATCTTCCAAAATATTTTTTCTTACAAAAATGTATTCTTTTATTTCGTTTCGTGTTTTCGTGTACTATTACACATTTTATTTATTACCCCAATTTCGGAAACACCCTGTATACATACATCAAATAGTGAAAATGAAGACGGAACTTGCACGGTGTAGTTTTGTCATTTTTCAGCTTTTAGGAAGAAATAGTTACTGTGTTTAATGAAATAAGTATCATTTTGTGAATCTTACGTTTCAAGTCGCAGGTTTTAAGTCACAAGTTCCGAGTAGTAAGGGGAAAATGGTGATTCATGCAGTAATAATAATAATGCTGGGTTTATAGATTCAATTGAATCAACAATTAGAAATTAACAATCAAGAATTAATAATCATGAGGTTGTTACATATCTGATATTAATCAAGAATTAAATGAGAAATGTCCTTTGATTAAAGATCGAAATGATGTTGAAAAGTAATTTTCGTCCCCACAACTCATGAATCTATATAAAAATATAATTAAATATCACCAAACCCCACTTGAACAATAACAAATCCAATCTTCATGTTCTGTCTCCAGAATTTCATAATTCTCAGTTGTTAATCAGTTGGAAGTTGGTCAACTTTGTGATTCTTAATTCATGATTCAAATCACAGAAGTAAATGTATAAACCCTCATAGATTTTTTCTTGTTTTCAACATTTTAAGTTCATAGTTGTTAGTTCGATCAATTGTTAGTTTAGTTGAATCTATATCTATAAAACCAGCATAAGGACTGTCATATAATATAGAAGAATAGGGACAGGAGGTAGGTATTAGAATTTTTTTTGAACTTCTGGAGATTATATGTTGTTGGGAATACTTCCTATCAGGCAATGAATTCCAGAGCCTACAGCCGTTCTATGGATGAAGGAGTTTTGATGAAGTGCTGAAACGAATGTAAGCAAACCAAAATTACAAGTGGTATTGCAGGTCTCATGCGGAGAGCTAATTAGTCATAAGTTTAAAGATGTAAGTCGTGAGAGATGAATGTTGGCCAAGTTTTCTTACGACATAAAACTTATGACTGCTCATGGCAATTGTATGAATAACGTTTATATTGAATAGCAGTGAATGCTCCTTACGACTTAAAACTTATGACTCAAAACCGCTGCATAAATCCATCATTAATGTTAATTTGGATTGAAACACTGAATTTTCCTCCATCATCTGAGGGGGGGTAATTATCCCCATTACCCCTCTTTGTGTACGCGCCTGTACAAAGCACACCCTTGTCATCGTTCTCCCAACATTCCCTGTAATTTCCGCATAGGAGCTGCCAGCGCCATCTAGCTTGCACGCCCTCCACCACAAACCGACGCTTGCGTGACGCCGCTTGTATCAGCGCCCGCCCAGAATGGACGCCAGTACGCTTGCAACTATGGATAAGGATGCTCTGAAGAAGCAGATAGAGAACATGAAATATCAGGCGGCCATGGAACGATGGCCCCTATCCAGATCTATCGCTGCGTGAGTAATTTTTACTGAAATTTTTATGTCGCTTTCGTTTTCGCGTTAGCGTATCCTAGTTTGCTGTGAAAATAACCATGAAAACAGACGAGCATGTGGCATGAATGCTAGCGTGAATGAGTCTAGTTGCCTGTGACCTCGACGATGACATTATTTCGAAACAAACGAATGTTATGTTTATGCATAATATGTGTGACTGCAGTCATCGCTATCTAGATTAATCTTATTAATAACACAATAATCCTCCTTTATATAGTTGAATAGAATGTACGTTTGTGATTTGTTGCTTCTAGATGTTTTTTTTTTATTATTTGGGGGTGTGGGTGGTTGAACATATGCATGACCCAGATTGCAGGATTCAATTTCCGAATGGAAAGTCATAAAACATTGCATGATTTCTTGATTGAAAATTGCAGCTAATTATGATGTGGGGACGTGGGGTACTTTGCGAAATTGCACTGTATATCGTGACTGCTGCATGGGGTGTATGATGCGTGGTGATATGGATATAGCTCGTATTGATTTTAGAGGGAAATGCCAGTGTGTTCACTGGTGTTGAGGAAAACAATGAACCATCTGCAGATGGAAATGTGACAACTCTATTCGTTTTTCCTCAATCACAGTAGTAAATTCTTGTTATTGTCATTTCTCATTTATTAGAACTTATTTTTTCGTAGGCTAAATTTTAAAAGACTAGGTATATCTTTGATTATTGAAATTTCAAATTCATTGATTTATGCTGATGTAGGCATCAGTTGATTTTTTGCATTGTTTCACTTTGAAGTACAGTTTCGGCTAGTCAGTCTTATTATTATTTCGAAATATTACAGAAACATGGTTCTGACAGATTCAAAATGTTTGTAACATTGATGCAATATTCTGGCAATATTATGAAAATACATATTCAAACAATACTGAGGAAAAATATGCAACATTTAATCTTTAATCACTTTAAACGGCCTCCTCTTTGTATACTCTAGCTGCTATTAGTCGTGCGATTCGTAGGAAATTTTGACCACTATGGATAATCATCAATTTGATCCGTTTTTCAGAGACAAACATCATTTTGGACAGTGTAGTGCGTTTTTATTGAAATAAAAATGGGTCGATGCTTCATTAAATCATTGCAAGAAATCTAACTTTATATTATTGTTCCCCATGCTTTCGAACCCCCACATGGAGAAATTTACCTCATTCTGAATTGACAGGATTGGTTTGATTTTTTTCATTTTCTGCTTCGCAAAAATGATGAATTCAGATTAACTACAAATTATGAAACGTTCGATAGCTCTGGTAGGTAGAAAAGTATGATTTGAAAGAAAAAACAATAGGGTAAATGTATCAAATTGGGACACGTTAAGGTATAGGTCTCGGTATAGGTAGTTCTTAAAATTCCCCAGAAATGTTATATTCTTGAATATTGCCAGAAATCATTCACATCTAGTAACAGATACGATTCCGGAATAATTCTCATAAGGATCAAAAGTCATAAAAAACATATTCCATTCCAAATATTTTTTTTTAATGAAATATGCTATTGAACCCACACCCACCATCTCATATGGAGCGAAATTCTCACACATACGTGTACATTATTTGGACACAGTGTGAAATTCTGATATTGCTGCTCCTAATTCAGACAATGAACGAAGAAAAAAAAAGATGGAAAGTGGGTTGGTAGTATATATGGATAGGTAAAGAAATACAAATTTCAACAATATCGAAATCTTGATTATTTTCATAGGGAGAATTCAAAGAATACCACGATTGTTATGTCACCAAAATTATTCCACAAGAAATATTTCTTCAATGCATGGCCACTCCCTATTATTTTCGCTTTGTGTTATCACACTCACAAATTCCTGAACCTCTCGTTGTTATTAAATCAGTCTGCTTATAGGGAATCCCACTTTAGCCACGTTGATGATGTTCATAACCAATGTGTCCTTTTGTCCTTTGTCAGAATTGGTGGTGCACCCATATTGCATTCAATTTTCATGAAACTTAGAATGCAAGGTTGTTTGATAGCTTCGAAATCCTAATTGAGTGATTTCAATGAAAAATTCATTTTTTTGCAAACATTCTGGTAAAAAACAGTCATATCGAATTGGAAACACGCGAATTTACTTCGGACATTCCTCTTGATTTAATTAGGACACCCTGTGTCAGTATTATAGTTATTTTGCACTATAACATATAACGCAGAGAAATGAAGCCTTCTAATAAATTGAAAAAGGACAAACGATATAGTACATTAGTGTTTTCATTGAACCTTATTCGGACACCCCATGTCAAAATATTGAAAATAAAATATTGTACGTCCCTAATCTGGACACCCTAATAATGATGAGGTTATAATTGAAAACACAGTTTTTTTGGTAGAATCACTCAGAATTAACATTCGTGAACTGATCACAAACATCAAACATGCAATATTGGACATAATGTGATGAAAAACTCTGGAAAAATAACTTAGGTCACATCCACTATAATTACAACGAATTTCCTTCAAAACATGTACTGCCTCTTCCACCGCGTGAAATGAATTGAAAGAAGGGTTGGTATCACTGAAATTTAGAGTGCAAAATAGATGGCATGGATGTTTCAATGTTGTCAGTTTGTGAGCACACTGTGTTGAATTATCTATAATAAAAGACCTGAATTTGGGCTGCTGTCCACGTTCGGGACTTTTACCAAATATACTTTTTTTGGAACTCAGCGTTTCCGAGTAAATAGTTATCTACGTTTGCCTTTTTTTCAAACCCTTCGTAGAAATCATATGAAAATGTACATATGGGAGTTTTAAACCATGAAAAACAATATTATGAGATCAGTTTCCTGTAAAAATTTCCTAATATGTAGGTTTTCATGAAAAATTGATCCCTTCTCATTTCAACAAAAACGCCCGGCACTGTCCAAAATGATGCTCATCACTGAAAAACTGGTCATATTGGTGGTTATTCACACCCGTCCAAATTCCGCAAGGATCGCACGATTTATAGCCGAGATATAGATGGGAGGGCCGTTTGAAATGAGACACGCTGTATATTTGATATAAGTAAGTGGAAAAAGTTCATACAGTGTGGAAACTTTATATCGAGAATATACCGGGTGACACAGGAGACATGTAGCAGCCTGTAGTTTTTTCATTTGAAGAGATAAAATTTTGAAATATACAGGGGGTATATAATAAATGGTAGCGCACTTTACGAACTTAACGACAATTTTTTTCAACCACCTGTTTGACCGGAAGTGACCCCAACTTTTTTTTTAAATGTCACCCTGTACATTTCTTCAGTCTGTCTGTGTCGCCTAGAAATTCTCTATCCAACCATGTATCTCAAAGTGGCATTTATTCCTTAATTCGCTGTTGAATTGCTATTTATTCAAAAAGAATAAGTTGGCTGTGACATGAATGCGATGATATATCGACACTCGGTAGGCTTTGAAATTTGAATATCATTAGTAAACCGATATTATTCAAAACGTTTTGATATTCTGATCAATGTCTGCAGGTTGTCAATAGCTTGTTTGAGTCAAGATGAAAACCTTCGAAAATAACTCATGGTATTGAGGAATCTAAGATAGGAACATATTTTTTCGAATTCAGCTACTCGTACAGAAACTATCTGTCTTTTATTTTCGCCATGTACCTATCACATGATCTTCCCATTTGGAATAATAAAACTAGAATTGTTCCTCTTATACGATGATCCACAGGGCTATCAGTCTATTTTCTCATAATATTTCACTTAGTAAGCGGTGTACCTACACAACATGTTTAAATGTGTTTGACAGTTAATCCATTGCATCAACAATTTTCCTTCTTCATTTGTGTGTTGATTAAAATTGCGTATTAACAACATATCGACTTTTTCGTTTCTTGAATACATTTTCCGTTTCTATTAATAATATGCAAAATTAATCAACACACAAATGAAGAAGAAATAGTATATTATGTAACAAGTGTTATAAACGTCCTTTTAGTAACGAGTATTTTAAGCACGAGCGGAGCAGAGCGGAGCGAGTGTTTAATAAACGAGTGTCTAGAAGAGTTTATAAACGCGTTACATACTATGATTTTTCTACGAACTCCGAAAATTACATTAACATATCTGCTATTCCTGCTAACCTACAAAATAATTCAAAACATTTTGTGTAGGTATACACCGCCTACTAAGTGAAATAATTATGAATGAATAGACTGATAGCCCTGTGGATCATCGTATAAGAGGAACAATTTTAGTTTTATTATTGCAAATGGGAAGATCATGTGACAGGTACGTGGCGAAAATAAAATACAGATAGTTTCTGTACGAGTAGCTGAATTCGAAAAAATATGTTTCTATCTTAGATTCCTCAATATCATGAGTTATTTTCGAAGGTTTTCATCTAGACTCAAACAAGCTATCGACAACCTGCAAACATCGATCAGAATATCGAAACATTCTGAATAATATCGGTTTACTAATGATATTTAAATTTCAAAGCCTACCAAGTGTCGATATATCATCGCATTCACGTCACAGCCAACTTATCCTTTTTGAATAAAAAGCAATTCAACAGCGTAGGAAGAAATAAATGCCACTTTGTGATACTTGGTAGGATAGAGAATTTCAAGGCGAAAAACATAGACTGAAGAAATGTACAGGATGACATTTCAAAAAAAAAAGTTGGGGTCACTTCCGATCAAACAGGTGGTTGAAAAAAATTGTCGTTGAATTCGTAAAGTGCGCTACTATTTATTATATACCCCCTGTGAATTTCAAAATTTTACCCGGTATAGCTGAAACCACCCTCAACATGATTTTTTCAAATATAATCCTATGCATGGCTCGTGACCCCTCATTGAAAAGCTAGTGGAAAGATGAATTCAGCGTACTAGTCAAATGTTAGTTTTTCATACGTTCAAAATTGAAATGTAATTTTGAAATTCAATTTATTTTCAACGTATCAGTAGCTCGAGTGTGTGTGGAATAATTGATGCCAATTTTTTGCTACAACTGCTATCTGCTACTGTATTGCACTGTTTTCATAGAGCCACAAAAAGAAATCTAGTTTTTTTTGCCGTATTCACAGTTCGAAACGAAGTGTTATTGCAAACGAGTGAAAATGCCCTGAATCACTGTCACTGAAAGTCGAAATTTTGATGAAAATATGTTGAAAGTATATTGAACTTCGAAATTATATTTTGATTTCATGCGACCCTAGAACGTACTGCAAACTAAAATCTGATCAGTACGCTGGATTTCTCTTTCAAATTTCAATTTCAAATTTTTCAATGCTTCCAATGAGGGGTCGCAAGCCATTTAAAAAAAACATGTTGGGGTTGATTCTAGTTACCCCTGAAGGGTTATATTCTCCATATTGCTCGTCAAATGAAGGTAAATACACTCAAACGTTGACGTGTTTCGCGAATTTTCAGAAAAATCATTCACTCCCCCAGTAGCGAATTTATTCCAGTTAAAGACTCCACCCTGTATACACACATGGGTCCAGAAATGCATTCGAATCGGTGAACGTGACAACCACGGAGCACGACTTGTAGGCTTGGTGTTGTCAGTTCTCAGCATTCACCACAGTGTTGCCAAGTCTCCAACATTCACATGATATTTTGTTCTGGAGAATAATAACTACTTGGACAAGCTGGTTACTCGAAAAATTCAAGAATGAACTAGAACATCATGAGCTCCTCCTATAATGTTTTATTCAACGACAGGACACAAACTTGCTTCATGAGTGGAAATGGAAGATTATCTGACCAATAACGAAACAGTATAAAAATTGACGTCACCATTTATTCGACGTATCGCCAAATGGCGGCCATGAAGGTTCGTTTGAAATGAGCTCTGATGAACAACGCATAGACTCATTATTTACATAAAAAAAAGGGTGAGAAGTGTTGCAAAAATTAATTTGGGTTCCTAACTACACAGTGGACTAAATGAATGTCAATAACTCATTACCAGTCCTCTCGCCTATTGTATGTTTCACAAGGCAGTAAATGTAGATTGACTGCAGTCATTCTACTACTTTCCTGCCTAGTAAAGTGAAACAAATAACTATTCTTCGAAAAAAGTTGGATCCCTTCGAGAAGGATGGATTGTTTCCATGACCTAGCTACTCTAACAGTTCATTCTTTTTTCCGGCAGAATGCGAGAATACGTGGAGGAAAACGAGAAGAACGACCCCCTGATCCACGCACCAGACAAGAAAAACAACCCCTGGGCGGAGAAGGGCAAGTGCGTCATCATGTAGAATCAGCAGCTGATCGTCAGCTTCGTCATTATCGTTTTCCCCTTCATCGTTATGATTTTGCCGAACATCCACAGTTTGCTGCTTAGCAGCATAGCGTCGGCCCATCTACCGTGATGATGTGAAGTGTCCATGCAGAAGCAGCATAGAATATACCCGTTCAAGTGTATATTGTCTACTTTGCAACTATTGTTTGTTACGTCATCGATGCACTCTTATTGTTCCAGTTGAAACAAAACCACATAAAAGCATCACACTGTTTGCTGATTCACAAGATATTACAACATGAGTACAGAAATTAGGTATATACTTCAAAGTAGAATATCTGTATTGATGTTGTAGCATTCTGTGTGAGAACACCGAGATATATTGTTTACAATTCATACATTCGCGCTTGACTTGCCAGGGTGAGTTAACATTTCTATGGTGACTATATTAGACCAGGAGCTGGTGACAGGTATCGTTACTCCATTTTACACTGCTTGCCTTTATAATTAAGCCTAACATATGAAAAATTGACGGGTACCTGGCCGTCACACATGTGCACTTCATAAGGAAAACCGCTTTTCTTTTTGTGAAGAATTTTATATACGGAAGTTCAAACGAATGGAAGCTCTAATAATTGATACATGGCTTGCAATCCACAGTAGCCGAAATGGCTCAAAAGGGTTACGAGAAACTGAGTGAAAATAAAGGGGTCTTCCGTGTTCTCAAACTGCATGCCGATGTAAAGAATTGCAAAAAATGCAACTTTGGTCATGAATGCCTCTATTTTACAAAATCCTGGTGTGTATTCCAGCCAACACAAAGAGGTCTTAAAAATATCTCGGCAACCTCCTTCCAGGAAATTGTGACGCCTTTCTTCTTCTTTGAGCGGTTGCTGAGAGCACTATCTTTGCTCCAAATGTCCGCTGCCGGGATATTCTCAACGAGGTTTGAGCGATATCCCACGAAGAAATTCACATACAATACCATTCAGGCGAGTTCTTTAGGAAATTCGCATACAGAATCTCGTTCCGAGAACTTTGAGAGATTCGCATCAATTGCCACTGGTGCAAACTCAAAGTATTCGCAGAACCGAATTATTCGAGATATATTTGGAGTCACGGAAACCTGTAATGAATTTTCACAGGATTTTAACGAAATTTCCCACCTTTGGTTAGACGAGGGGCGCATGTCAATTTTTCCGGAGTGTTTTTGTTACTAGAACTGTGATTCTTCACATCGGCATGCAGTTTTGAAACACGGAAGTTTCCTTCAATTTTCTTCAGTTTTTCGTGACCCTTATGAGCACACGAAAAAGGAAAATGCTTCTCCTTATGAAGTGCACAAGTGGGACTGCCAGAAACCCCTTCTATTTTTCATATTGGGAATAATTAAAAAGCCTTAAGAAGGCATGCAGTGTAAAATGGGAGAACCTCAAGTGTCAACCAGTTCCTGGTCTATATCTGTTAGTCCAACCAATCAGGTGAAATCTGAACAAGGTTTCGACACTCAGAACTGGCTTATAATTATTACATTGCTTCGCATTACTGATCCAGAAATATTCCATTCACGCTAAGGCTACGCGTTTATCTAGTCCTTTTGGACATTTCTGAATATTCCTCGTTATTGCGTTTTATTACCGTTTAGATGGCTCTGAAAACGATGTTTCGGTTTTTCAAAGAGCTATCAAAATGTTTCATCTCATTTACCTACCCTTTATAGGCTAATTTCATGAATATGAATTAGATATAAGTAGGCTAGTACCGATATAAAAATGATATTGAAAAACTCACAGTTTCACCATTATAATTTTAGAGTTGAGATTCGAGATTCTCGCTTCTTGGTTGCTTGTCCTGTTAGTGGACTGTTTTTCTAAAATAATGTCAGTTCACCATCGCCCCTATTGCTCGAATACCAGGGGCCTGATGGTATTTTGGAAATTTCCACATGACAAGTTCATTCCAAATCGTAAGACAGAAGAATCGACTCGATATTTGTAGGTTAAATACATAAAATTATCCAGAGTTTATGTAGTAAATTATATACATAGGTATTGTTTTTTCAATAGTAAACTCTTCGATATTGATTATAGTATTCATGTTATTGGGTCACCTGAAATTTCGGCAAAAAAGCATTCAGGCGACATTCTGTAGTCAATTCAGAAATATTGCTACTTATTGTACACGATTTTTCAGGTTTTTTCACATGACTTCGCCTTGCTTTCCACTGAAAGCGAACTAAATTTTTGTTGTTTTCAATATTATCGACTACCGCATTTACGGGGCGTTGAGAAATTCGCATCCACAATCCTAAAAGCACGTAACATACACCTCTTTTACGGTTTTTTGGATAGCTAATGACATCTTTGCTTGGGGATCACTCCCAAGATTCATTGAATCTGGTACAGGTCGAGAAAATCTCCTTCCAACAAAATCCATCCTAACGTAATTTCCAGTCTTGAGCTTGTGTCTTTTCAATTGGATTCTGTGAGCTTAGCAGGCGGTGTTTTCCCAACTCTCTGTGAACTCAAACTATATTGATAAATTTCAAGAAGGTTCGTTTTTAGTTAAGAGCAGCATATTTACCTTTTTGCTACAGTCAGAGGTTTTTGTTTCTGTATACAACAGCACCTCTGGAAATATGTAGGGTAACAGTTAACATCTACTAGGTTTTATATTCATCAATTATCATTCTATATACATATACAGCTGTAGTCACATACAAATTATTTCTAAACTGTAGTCTAGTCATCAGTATATGAATATTTGTATTCGAAAATTAATGTGAGCTTTTCCTTGACTAATTTAAATTTCCAAGGCTCTGTGAAAATATGGAGGCAGAACTCTCTAGGATACAACTTCCAAAACTCAACTGCAACATGAAATACCAAAAAGTTCTGTCTCATTTTCACTTGGACCTGAGAATAAATCTTGAAAGTGACAAATATTTTGTACAAAAGCGCTCAAGCAGAGACTCTCCAAAATGTCTGCTTCATCGCTGGCTTGCAAAATATCGGATTTCGGCAGTTTGACAGTTTTCTCCTGTCGTGGTCCAAAAATGAAAAAGGCTCATGCAGCCGACTTTAGCTCTTAGATTAGTTTTGCATGCTTTAAAGTTTGAACTCATTTCAATAGGATAAGTGTTCATAGGGTTAAGATAATTATTATAAGAAAAGTTGAACATAACAATATTACATGGATAAAGACAATACTTGAGACAAAAAGAACTCTCAACACTCTTTTTTTACCCGACTGTGACTAAGTCAAGAGGAAGCTCGAATCAACATTCGAATATGTATTCATATAAATATAGCTGTAATGCAAACTAATGTTGTATAAGCTGAGATTGTTCTACTTCATATAATATGCATTAATTATTATATTATACTTTCTTGGGACCAACTGTGTTTTACTACATAATAGCAGTGCGTAAATAGTATATTATGTAACAAGTGTTATAAACGTCTTTTTAGTAACGAGTATTTTAAGCACGAGCGGAGCGAGTGTTTAATAAACGAGTGTCTAGAAGAGTTTATAAACGCGTTACATACTATGATTTTTCTACGAACTCCGAAAATTACATTAACATACCTGCAAGTCCTGCTAACCTACAAAATAATTCGAAAGGAATGGGAATTGAGAACATACTACATGCAACTGCATGCAACCAGCGAGACACGTATAAGTGATATTGGTTGTAGATGTGTCCAGTCCATTGCTTACTAACCTTTGTTTCACGTTTATTGTCATGCTCAGCGCAAAATAAATAAATTGTTCTCAAAGATGGATGCTTCATTTTTATACTTCTTGAAGATATGCAAGTACCAGAACATTCTCTTCGATTTCACTTTCGTCTACATACCGCATATATTTTTAATGAAGAACTCTGATACAAACGAATATTTTGAATAATTTTGATACAAAATTCGAAAATAACAGTTGACAGTTAATACAATTGACAGGCCAGACATGTCTCAAATTACTGAAGCTGTGTTTAATCAACTGCGTTGCCATGGTAATGTGTTTTAAGAAATCGTGTTGCCATGGTAACGTGTTTAATATTTCGAATAAATCACAAATCGACAATCCGTGATTATTCGGTCATTTTAGCGTGGTTCATATCCGTACGCTAAATGCCATCTTAGTTATGTGAGTAGAAAATAGTATATTAGGCAACAAGTGTTATAAACGTCATTTTAGTAACGAGTAGTTTAAGCACGAGCGGAGCAGAGCGGAGCGAGTGTTTAATAAACGAGTGTCTAGAAGAGTTTATAAACGCGTTACATACTATGATTTTTCTACGAACTCCGAAAATTACATTAACATACCTGCAATTCTTGCTAAGCTACAAAATATTTCGAGAGGAATAATGGGAATTGAGAACATAATACATGCAACAACACAGATCGACAATCCGTGATTAATCGATCATTTAGCGTGGTACATATCCGTACGCTAAATGCCATTTTAGTTATGTGAGTAGAAAAAATTAATTTTGTATGCATAGGCGCCCCCCCCCCCCCTGCAGGACAAGGACCCGCCTTGTCCTGCTCTCCTTGGCCCCTTGCTCATCTATTTAAAAATCATATTTATTCATACTTGAATATTGAATGTGCAATTTCTCTAATCTGAAAAATTCAGTATCTAAGCATTTTTCAACGTTATTATGTGTGCAGTATTTGTTTTAATAATAGGTTTTTGCGGGCAACAATGATTATCATTTTTTTCAAATGTTTCAATGATTTTTGATAACACATATACAGGGTGTCCCATTGGGAAACGGGAAAATTTCAACGGTAGGTAGAGCTCATCGAGGTGGTTCTGAATATGATCATATTTGTAGGGTCTCATTCACTAATGAATTTCTGATAATGAATTCGAGGTTTAATACCAGATAGCAGCGAAATTTTTGATTTCTTCGGCTTGTAGCCATCTGATATTCTTATCTATTAGAAAAGATCTGTCATTTCTTGAAATGTTACATTTCATGGGAGATAAGATTTTGTGAAATAATAGCAATTTCGTGTTATATAGCAGTAGAAAAAAAATGTTTTAATTCGACAACTGTGTTTATTAAAAAGAGTGATAATACTGTGTCTTTCAAAAACATCGTTCAGTATAGTGATTACATCGCGTTATTCTGTGTTGTGTCGGTGTTTTGTGAAGTGTTTTGAGAATTCATTTGTGAGCCATATGCAGATTTCATACTGGTGAGTTAATTAATCTTTCCTAACACGTGATAGACACTTTGCGAGAAAACAAATCGATTTCTTACTCCAAGGAACAAAAATGAATTTAGCAATCCATAATGAGAATTTCAGTCTTCTCCCAAGACCGAATAGGTAAGTACGCAAGGAGGAAAAAATTCCTTGAAATTCGTTTAGTTACTATGGTAACGATACGAAATACAGCCTTTTTCATTTGGTCGAGAATGTGATTTGTGAAATTTTCAATGATAATTCAGAGACAATTTTGAGACAAAAAAAACTAGATTTCATCACATAAAGATTGCGAATTCTCAATGTATTGCTTCATATAAATATAAATCCATTTTTGTATGTCCATAATTTATCTGAGAATATTCCTTCTCAACAGAAATTATAAAGTTGACTAAAAGTTCGCAATATTTAAGTTGGGATGATCTTCTCAAATGACCCTGTATATCATTAGTATATTTCATGTTCCACCCCACTTCACTAACTTCAGATATCATTATTATTATTAGTCATAGATGAATACTTCTTTGGGAATTGATAGGATAAAAAGGTGACGCAACTAATTTGTCATTCGGGACGAGGTGTTGAATCAGTCTTGTGTTAGATGTCATCGAGTACGGACGGTCTACTTAAAGTGCTCGTATCAGTTTCAAGCAAGAATCTAGTGCATATCGCGAAATAGTATACAGGGTTCTAGAAAACCAAGCAACTGATGAATTTGAAAATCTCATGGTATGTATAAATTGACATAATCTACACGTCTATAATATTTCAAATAATGCGGTGTTGCCGCTTCTACTAGAAAGTAGCAACAACCATGATTTTTTTTTTCGGCAACAACCTGTATTTCATTGAATTTTTAAATTCTTCCTGGAGAAATACAAATAGGAAGGAAATCGAAGTCATTACCACAATAGTTCATAAAATGAACGAAAATGGTAGATAACGAGAGAAAAACAACTACTTTCCTGGAGTGCTGCTTTCATCAATGTATCACACTAAACTAGTGGGTACGATTACAGAGATAAAGGGTATTCTATATCGAGATTTTTCATCTTTAGGATTATTTGTGTCGAAACTATACATTATTAGTCAAAACGGCTTTACTATTTACTGTCATTTAATTAGACCAAATACATGGTGGTTCATGATTCAGAATTGAAAGGGCAAGTGGTAGAAGGGGTCAAGTAACATTTTCTGAAAATATTCGGTTATGTAATGGAAGAAGGTGATACGTGCATAATAATTATGTAACTTGTCAAGATTTGTTTCTATTCTTCAAATCTGAGTAGACACACAGTGGCAGAAGATCTATGGTTACACTAAACATCAAGGACGCAAAGGAAGAAGGAGCTATGTACCCATTATCTTCATGTCAGGAAATGGAAGAAGGGGCTATGTACGCATGAATCCATATGATATATCAAAAAATTATATGATAGCAAAATGCGGTCAATGATAAAAAACAACCTAAAACTTCCTCACAATTGCATAAATCAAATTATTAGCTTTCATTAAAAAATGCCAGCTAACTTTACTAACACCTATTTTTCCCACAAACTCATATTTGTAACTCCTTCTTCCACTTGCCCCTTCAATTCTGATCACCCTGGATCTGTTCCAATCAAATGTCGGTAAATAGTAAATCAAAAGTTAAGATGGCCGCTTCGACGAATAATGAGTTTCGACACAAAAAATTCTAAAGTTGAAAAATATCGATTTTGACCACCCTATATTTCTGTAAACATCGTCACTAGACCCTCCAGTGTGATACATTGATGAAATCAGCTCTTCAGAGAGAATCTATGAATGCGATGGAATACAGGGTGTTCCATTTGAAGAATCAAAGTTGCTGTTACTTTCTAATAGAAGCAGCAACGCCGCGTCGTTTAGAATATACCATAATAAAACTTTCAGAATCATCTGGTACTTGGTTTGCCAGAAACATATAATCAACGCTCATCGTGAAAAACCTCTGTATCGTTCAACGAGCTCGGAAATAAGCATTCCGTGCGAGTTATGCACTATACTTTTTCTACGGCTGTAACAGATAACAGTGACATTTTTTATTACTTCGGCTTGTAGCCATCTGATTTTTTCGCAAGTAATGCTGTCATTGCATGAAATTTGACAATTCATGGGAGATGAAATTTTGTGAAATAATAACACAAAGAAGTCATTGTCGTGATATCAGATACGGAAATGAAATTGATGACATACAAAGTACCTCATTAAAAAAAGGGCAACCAAGCAATCTGTGTTATAGCCGTAGAAAAAGAACTGTTTCAATTCTACAACTGTGTAAAAGAGTGATAATAGCCTATCGAATACATCGTTTGGTATAGTGATTACATTGCGTTATTCTGTGTTGTGTCGGTGTTTCGTGAAGTGTTTTGAGAATTCTTATGTGGACGACATGCAGATTTCATACTGGTGAGTTTTTGAATCTTTTCTAACACGTGATAGGCACTTTTCGAGGAAATAATTCATTTATATACCTACTCCAAGGAACAAAAAATCAATCTAGCAATCCATAGTGAGAATTAGTCTACTCACAAGAGCGATCACAGTGTTTTCGTGAAGTATGGAATTAATTTATTTTTAGCCAAATTATCCATTCCTGAGGAATCTCCTGAGACAGGACAATTCTTGTTTTCAATTCCCCACATTTATAATGGGAAAATTAAATAAACATGGTTATTCACTTTCGAGTAATTATGTCCGCGTCAATTTTTTTAATTGAAACTATATATATAGATATATGTACTATAAAAAATTTTAAACTTCTATGATAAATTGATATTCATCATACAGGGCTTGTAAACAAATTCATTGTACTTCAAAAGGCAAATAGTTGGCATGCTATTTTTCATATTTGCCTTGGCTGATTCAAATTACAAGGATTCATATACAAATACTGCACCTACATGAGGTGAGCATTTTCCATGAAAATACATGGCAATGAATAATAAGATTAACAATCAAAATCACAAGTTGAAGACAAAACTATAATTATTCAGTGCATATCATTGGTTCATTGATAGTATATGCAGTTTGAATGAAAGTGGATATGTAGCAATCCAGCTACGGACGTTGAATATATTATTCAGGTATGTCTCAGATTCAACATCCATTTAATTCATCTAATGATATTTATTTTCTGTTATGAATGTACTTCGAT